TTTTGTTTTGCTTTCAGTCTTTTTTTCTCGCTGTTTCATTTTGTCTAGCTTATGTTGATATGTCTTCAAGGTTGCTAATCAACTATAATGTCTAATTTTTGTGTATTTCTTAATTTCCATAACTATATCTTTCAACGTTCATTTTCAAACATATGTATTCCATTCCTTCTCTCCTTCGCATGCTCATGCATCCCTCTGCCTTCAAATATACATACAAAGTATATTTGAAATCCTTGTATACTACTCTATCTGTGTTATTTCCGAGGTCCGCTTACACTGGTTCCTGTTTTACATGCCTAATGCTTTTTTTACACTTATTTACCATCATTGTTTATTTATTTATTTTTGGCTGCACTGGGTCTTCATTGCTGCGTATAGGCTTTCTCTAGTTTTGGCGAGCAGAGGCTGCTCTCTAGCTGTGGTGCCACGGGCTTCTCTTGTTACAAAGCACAGGCTCTAGAGAGGGCGGGCTCAGGAGTTGTGACACGTGGGCTTAGTCGTTCTGAGGTATGTGGGATCTTCCCCTACCGGGGATCGAACCTGTGTCTCCTGTCTTGTAAGGTGGATTCTTAATCACTGGACCACCAAGGAAGCCCTGCCTAGTACCAAGGTCCTCAGCCTCATGTACAGGGGCATGATTCCTACCATAGTGACCCAGCACAGAACCCCCCCAACCCCGACCTGTTCCGCATGCGTAGAGTCTCCCTTTTCACTTCAGACCAACCTGTTCCCCCATTTCCTCCCCGACAGCTCTGCCTCCTGTGGGCTGCCAGCAGTTTCGCTGAGCAGGGGACTGTGTGATGGTTTTCGCACGATGTCTTCATATGAGGGCAACAGTCTGACTTCACTCTGAAGGGATGATGTTTGTAGCCACTGGAAGGTAACATAGTGGTGTGATTATTGAACCAAAGTAATTTATGTTTTGTAACTTGGTTACTTTTATTTTACATTTTGTTAAAGTATTAAATACTGTTTTCCTATTTGGAAAAAAAAAAAAGAAGCCCTGCCTAATACTTTTTAATTGTATGGTTGGAACTTTACATTATTGAGGACTGGAATTTTATGAAGTTTCTTAGGGAAAAAAAATATCACCCATTTAAGACATACTTTTAAGCTTTGTTAGATTCAGAATACCCTTTCGCCTAGGACTAATTTGGCCTTGCTCCCTGATGGATGTACTCCTGTGATGTATTAGGGGAGCTCTCCACTCTGACTGATAGGAGCGGAGATCATCTATGTCTTGTGAGCTGGGAAGGTTATTCTGCCTGATCCTTTCATTCTTCTTGCTCTCAGGTAGCTTCCTCACAAGGATGTACTGATGGGTGCCCAGCCAATGTCTTGAAAAAGCTCTCTGCAGGTGTCTGAAGTTCTTTCTCCGTTCAGTTGTCTCTCTCCCATGAATTCTAATTGGTATGGCCTCCCTGAACTCTAAATGCTGCCTCCTCAACTCAAGAGATTGCTGGACTTGGTTTAGGTGTCGCTTCCCTGTATGGCAACCTGAAGAGTCTCTATCAGAAGTGAGTTGGGGCAATCATAGGGCTCCTAATTCAATTCCTTTCTCCCAGGGATTAGTGTCCTGCACTGTCAGTTGTTCAGTGTCTGAAATTTTAGCTGTTTAAAGCAGGAAAAGTAATCTAGGCCCTGTCACTCCGTAATGGCCAGAAGAAGTTATCATTTTGGGTTTTTTTAACCTCCCTAGGTTAAATATTCTAATATGTGGCCGGAGTTGAGAACCACTATAGTGTATTTTTATTATTGGAGTTTTAGCCCCTATTGCCATGTTTTTCCCTTGCCCCCTTGCAGCTGTGATTTTACTATCACATCTCAAACCATACTGCTTAACTCACATTCTCCCTGCCTTATACCCAAAATGGCATGGTATTCTTGGATTTGGTACTTATGAGTACTCTCCAAATTTCTAGGCACGGTTCTCCATGTCAGAGAGAGAAGGCATTCTGACTTGCTATTAATCATGTTATCCACAAAAAGAAAGAGGGAAGAAAACTGGGCTAAGGAGATTGTTAGTTGAGAACTATATCTATGGGCTTCCTTGGTGGTCCAGTGGTTAAGAATCCCCCTGCCAATGCAGGGGACATGGGTTCAATCCCTGGTCCAGGAAGATTCCATGTGCCATGGAGCAACTAAGCCTGTATGCCACAACTTCTGAGCCCACATGCTGTAACTACTGAAGCTCAAGGCCTAAAGCCTGTGCTCTGTAAAAAGAGAAGACACTGCATTGAGAAGTTTGCACACAGCAACGAAGAAGTCTGCTCACCACAACTAGAGAAAAGCCCATGTGCAGCAAAGAAGACCCAACACACTCAAAAATAATCAATTAATTAATTTGGCTCAGATGGTAAAGAATTTACCTGCAATGCAGGAGGCCCAGGTTCGACGTCTGGGTCAGGAAGATCCCCTGGAGAAGGAAATGGCTACCCACTCCAGTATTCTTGCCTGGAGAATTCCATGGACAGAGGAGCCTGGCGGGCTACAGTCCATGGGGGGCAAAAAGTCAGACAAGATTGAGCGACTAACACTTTCACTTTTCATACCTCTGGAGGGTATAAAGGCAAAGAGACAGGCAGGACAGAACATTATAGTCATGGAATATAGATACTTTTCAAATATTGTAGAAAAATAAGCTAAATTAAATAAAAAACGAACAAAACTTGCTATTAGGGGTGCAAATTAGCAGTAAAAGCAGCTCAGAGTCACTCCCTGAGTCTTCCAAAGAGAATGGGAAGCATCATTTGTTGATTCTGCTGTGCATTTCTGCATGTAATATCTCATTTCATCTTTGAGGTGTTCTGAGTCACTTACCATCTCTATTTAATACATGTGGGAAGCTATAGATTTGAGAGGTTAGGGAACTCATGAAAGACATACGGCTAGTAACAGAAAGGTAGTGTCTGATTTCCAAGTCTGTGTCTTTTCCCTCTCTGTCTCTGACCACAGCTGTCATGATAGTTTCCAGCTCCAATGCATATTTATTTACAAAACATCTTTACTTGACTTTCCCTGTGGCTCAGACAGTAAAGAATCCACCTGCCAATGCAGGAGACCTGGGTTTGATCCCTGGGTTGGGAAGATGCCCTGGAGAAGAAAATGGCAACCCACTCCAGTATTCTTGCTTGTTGAATTCCACAGACAGAGGAGCCTGGCAGGCTAGAGTTCATGGGGTTGAAAAGAGTTGGACATAACTGAGCAACTTACACACTTTAGTATAGTGTAAATCACTGGAGAAGAGTGTGAAAATTCCAAGTCCAGCTTGATGAATTTTCACAAAGTAAACATACCCTGTCTAACCAGCACTCAGGTCAAGAAACAAAGTGGTTCATGCACCCTAGAAGTCTCCTCACATATGTCCCACTTTCAACCCAGGAGAAATAACATAGAGGTACTCAGTGGAGCCTATAGCTCAGGCTCCCTTAACTTGGGGTCCATGTAAGCATCTATAAATCCCCTGAAATTACAAGCATTTTCCCAAAGAGAGGATGTAGTGCCTTCATCAGATTCTCACGAAAAGGGACAAGAATAAAAGCTACCACTGAAGACTGGCTCAGAGGGAATATAACCATTCATTCATTGTATCATCAAAATCAGAACACAGTACTAGCTATGGCTACCAACTGAGAGTTTAATGTGCCAGGCATTTTATGTTTATTATCTCTGACCCTTACAAAAACTCTGAAATGTAAGTATTATCACCTCTATTTTACAGATATGGGAACACAGGTTTAGAATGAAGTTACTTGCCCAAGGTCATACATTATTGTGTAGGTATTCGTGAATACTAGTATTCAATATGAGACCTGCTACAGCAAAGCCTGCACTTCTGCGGTGAGACCACGATGCCTTCGGCAATATTAAGTTGCCTAACTTCTGCTCAGAACAAGCTAAACTTGAAATACCAGGGCTGAACAGGAAATGAAAGAGTGACATCTCAAGCCCGGGCAATTTTTTTTTTTTAAAAAACAATTCCCTTCTAACCAATGACATCTGCAAAAGGGAAAGTGCTGCCTTTAAAAGAGGCACTTTGCCCTCAAAGAGGTGTGGCCTCCAAGAGGTGTGGCTGTTAGGTTTTTCTCTAGTGGGAGTTACTATCAAACCACAAGCCAACTGTCTATCATTACACTGCACTTTGAGAGGACACCAATGATTGGTCGACTAAGAGAGCAACATTTGAATTTTAAGAAAAGACCAAAACAACCTAAGGTCTTTACTTGAGTAAGAAAGATAAAGCTTTGTCAGAGAAAACTCTTGAGTCAGCGTCAGAGATTAGGCACGAAAACCCCTGTGTTAGGTAAAACCTTGACTTTCCTAACTGGTGTTAAGTTGCTTTTAATTCTTCAAGAAATTAGCCCCCATTTGAAAAGATATGTAAAAACTATGTGAAAATGCTTTGTAAACTGCAAAGGAAATGGCTAGCAAATAGTTTAAAAAAATCCCCAAACTCTAAACATAAAGCAAAAATTACCTGCCTGCAAAGGCTATACCAGGAGGTGGTAGAGTTAGAAGCAGCCACAATTTTGACTCCTACTTTCCTACTCATCACTAGGTCACATGTAGAATTAATGTTTTCTGTCTCTCATTTTCCCTCTGCTATTCCATTGGATGATTAAGTACACTGCATCATCTGTACTTTATTTTGGAGAAGACATACATTATAGAACCTATAAAACAAAAGAATGGCTCAGATGACTTTTTAGATAGAAAATAAACCATAGATTCAACTTAAAAGATTGAAAAATTACATTCGCTTAGTATATTTACTACACTTCATTCTGAGTCTGAGATGCATCCTCAGCTGAATCAGATAGAAAAATGAAAAAAAAAATCATTTATTTCAGGCAATCCAAGTTCTTCTAATACAGCAAGCTTTAAAATTTTAGAGACCTTGAAATATTGAAAGAAACTCCTATAATTCAGTCATCTTTTCCTCAGTAACAGCTTCTATTATAGAAAGTTCCATTTAATAGATAAGGCTAAAAAAATATTGCTTCAAATTTTATATGCTGTACTTTATATCTATGAAGTAAAGCGTTACGGAACTACTCACAGAGCCACCCAAGCAGCAATGTTATTTCCAGGGTTTTTTGTTGAAACTCACTTTATTAAAAAAAAAAAAACCAAAAAACAGTCATGAACAATAAATTACAATCATTTCCCCCTTTTATAAATTCTTCATAAAATATATTTGACAATTTTAAAAGAAAATTTCAAAAGTTGCTTTTGTTTCTGAAGTGCTGATGACTTATTTTTTGACCATTTTGTCATGCTGGTGAATTATTTGTAGCTGCTACAATAGTTTGATTGATAAACATTTTACAGTTAAAAACAACAACAACAACAAAGAGGAAAAAACAGACCAGCAGAAAGAACTATTCAGTGTGCTATTTATCTGACACTTAACACTTACTTTATCATAATGACAAAGTATCCCTTAGCACCAAAAAACTACAGGAACCCCATCCTTCTAAGTGACAACTAGTGCAAAATAACATTCTAGGAACTAACTGTACAATCCCATTATTTTAACTGGCCACAGCTGCCTATAAGCTTATTTGAAATATTTGGTCTTTTTTCAATTAAGACAAATTTCATAAAACACTATAAACCATGGCAAGAGACTCTATGAGGAACAATTGTTTATTGAGTACCTATTATGGGCAAGGCACTGTGCACAAACTCTTGCTTTCATTTTTCCTCTAAGCAATATCCAGGAATTTCCAAGTTTCACTTTATTTCTTACTCCTTGCTGGAAAAGCCCATGGCTACATGCCATTTTTAAATTGTCATTTTTTCAACTGATCTTTAGTGCTGAGCACACAGTAGGTACTTAATAAATACCTCCTGACTGAAAGAATGAAGACAAAGAATTTACTATCATTTTTCTTGGTATCATAGGCTATTTAGAATACAAGGACTTAAGAAAATTTCAGAAGAAACTTCCTGATCACCTCATATCCTTACCACCAATGAAAGGAATAATTCCACTTCACAGGTAAATTAAAATAGTTTTAAAAATAAATTATAATTGTTAACTACTTTAAATGAGGTGGGACCAAATGCTATCTACTTAGGAAACCGTGACATGTAGCTATTTGAAGAGCAAATGAAGCATTGGCATACCATCACCTAAGTCATCATGAATCTCTGCTGAAGTGCCATGTTATTGATAAGACATTGTAATGCTTTTTTATTTCCAGTAACTCAATCTACTTGGCCAGATCTGTGTTCTACTAATTTGGTGATCCAGAGGATCAATTATCATGAAGTTCCAGTGTATTTCCACCTCCAATTTTGAAAATAATTCTTATAATTATTAGCTTGGAAGTAATGTTAAATGTACTTTTCTTTTTTTTCATTTAAGAGGTTTTAAGTAAAACCTTCCAGTCTAAATTTTAAACTTCACACCAAGTAATGCATAGTTCAGAAATTTTTTGTACTCCAATTTTTTGTGCTTTTTCACCTTTTATAGTCCCCTGAACACATTTTAAATAAGGAAAAAATTATGGTAGGAATATTCCAAAAGTTGTGGAAGTTCAAAAAAACTGAGGAGACTACGTGAACTATCAATGATTTCAATATTCTAATATCTTTAAACATTTTTTTTTAACTTTTGACCAAAGATCCTAGTGCTTTATAGAGATTAACCTATATACAAATGGTCTTAAAGTATTAACAACCTTAAAGGCTAATGATCTGTTTTAGGAAAACTTTCTTCCTTTAGATTTGAACTATCTGCATTTACAGGGGGGAAAAAAAAAAAACAAAACTGGAGACAACCATATGGGGTTAAAAACCAGACTGACTTCAAGAAGAATAATGGTCTATTGGTTCTTCACATAGACCACACCAAGTGATTGTATAAACTGATAACCTCTCTATTTGAAAGACATAACTGATGCCACAGTATTTTACCCATTTGCCAAACTGTATAGGTATCACCTCCCACCTTAGAAAAAGGTGGTCAACACTGAATACAACCACACTACCACTATTACTGTGTCAAATTAGACAAGAGAAAACAGCATTAGTGCTAAAACGAAAGGAATTCCAGTGATTAAACAGGAGACCATATTAGAGCAGGCAATGTGAGGATAGAACTCATTTGGTTTCTTCAGCTTTACGCTGAGGCTTAGACAAAGTCTTGAAAATAAAAAGTTAATATATATCAATTACTATAGTTTATATACAGCAACGTTTTCAGAAACAGAAGAATCCTGTGTTCAGACTTATATTAGATTGCAGATGCTCAAGTGCAGTCATGTCCCAATGCAGTGGTTTAATTGGTTAATTGAATGCATGGTTACCTAAAGAAGGTATGACTAAATTATGAATGTCCTTGCTAACCGGTACCACACTGATTGCATGGCTAATTCAACTCCTGCAGCTATAGGGCACTGGAGAGCTCAAACAAACTTCAGCAGCTTTGGATCACTTACTTTCACTTACGTTTAGCCAGATAATTTTGGACTCTCCAAAATGATGTCTTAAAAAAAGCTGTATAACATTATAAAAATAAAAACTTAGCATGATTTCATTAGAGGGAGGGACAGGGTAGGAAGAGGGAAGGTTCTTTTATTTTTCATTACTGATTTCACCAGCAAATCTCAAAAATCCAAACCTACATCAAATAATTTAAACAGAAGTGGCATTTTTTTTTATATGGAATGCAAAATGCACACATTCACATACTTACATATACATAAATATATACATATATGTTTCCTTTACAAAGCTTCAAAGGTTGCATTACCAGCATGCAAACCTTTTTTTCCATGGAAATTTCTAATACTGACAAGGAATGTCTAAAATACTTAAGAGACATATTTCCAGAAAACTGGACTCTTCTTTTCTTGGCTCTTATAGAGAATTTTCCTGCCAAACTTCTACCAATGGTCATTTAAAAAAATTTACATCCACATTGGTAATACACTTTTAAAACATATTAACAGAATGGCCAGCTTGGACTTAAGAAAAATGAGGAAAAAAAAAAAAACTCCCACAATAAAATCTAAACCCTTAAAAGGTGGACTTTAGCTTTTTATATTCTGTTTCAGCCACATTATGTTGCATCACTGTTAAAACAGAAGCAGCATATCATCCAAGATATTTGCAAATAATATATGTGTCACGTTTCCCAGCTGCTATCTTTAAATGCAATTTGTACTAATCTGAGTTCTAGTTCAAAAGCATCTGGACGATCCTGAGGGTTTGCAGCCAGCATTTCCTTAATCAGTTGTTTCATTCGCCCATTCATAGACTTTTTCTTCACAGGAATGAGAAGTTCCATTTTGGGATTTTCCAGAAGTGCCTCCCCAACAGGCACAATCTCAGTTCCTTGTTTTACATAACTCCCCAAGAGTTCCTTCTTTGTCTCTGTGTCTATGAAGGTGATCCTTTCCAGCATTGCCCAGATGATAATCCCCAGAGCAAAGATGTCAGCTTTTGCTGTATAATGTCCCTCCCACACTTCAGGAGCCATGTAGAAATCTGTTCCACAAGCTGTAGAAAGGAAACACTTGTTTACGCTGACAGGTTCTTCTGGATTCTGCCCAGATGCTGAACAAACTTTACTAAGACCAAAATCAGCCACTTTCAGGGTAGGTTCCAAGTCACTGGTATCCAACCTGCTTTGAGAAATCAGGATGTTATCAGGTTTCAGATCTCGATGGATGATCTGGTTTTTATGCAGGAAAGCCAGGGCACTGCTCAGCTGAAGCATGAAGCTGGTGTTAGTTTTACGATTGGGTTTCCTGGACAACAGATACTCATTCATATCTCCTCCATCACAAAAATCCATCACGAACCACAAGTAATAGGCGCTTCTGGGATCAAAGGCAATTTCTCCTTTTAGTGAAGTCTCTACAAGCTATAAGAAAGAAAAAAACAGATTATAATCATCTGCACAGTTTATATAATTCAGTGATAGAGAAAGAGTCACTGGTTGAGTTAGTCTCTAATTTTAATTCTAAATTCCATGAATACTTTATTTGTTCAGTGCTTTCATATGTGCATTTATTTTAAACTTTAGTACTGCAAACTGTCACTTTGTCCCTAACAAAAATACACCAAATTTCTAAGTCAAGAGGTGAAAACTTAATAAAAAACAGTTATATTTTGAGACGTGTCCAACTGCCTGTACATTTGCTTCATGTGTCAATGGAGCTGAATTCTAACTGGCTAGCTAATAGCTTCCTGAAAAGATCAAAGTTTCAGCACCTAGACCTGGGAGATTGCCAGCTGGGGTATAAACATCAATTAGGACATTCTATTCCATAAAACTCCCTGAAATCTGCTTCTCGCTTATTGCACTTACATTATCAACATAATCTGTGAAACTAAGAGAAAATTATGAAGGAATAACCAGTTGCTACAGAAATAAAGTGCTCCTGTAGTCACTGATGAAACTAAAGACTGACATCATTATTGCAAGAACTTCTATAAGCAGAATGCAAATATGGTGGCTATCTCTATCAATAGATGGCTTCTAAAAACCAATTAATAAAAATCACATATGCATTTTGATATAAAAATTCAAAACTAAGGTTGTCTATTTGATACAAGCTGAAAATCTAGACTAAAGCACAGTTTTACTTATATCATTATCTAATTGTAACTCTCCTACTACCTGAAATTCAAGAATCTCAATTACTTCACTGAACATGAACTGTCATTTTAAATTACAGTGCTTTGAAAGCATTTGTCCTATGGTGTCCTTTTCAGGTTCACAGGCTGAACAGAAACTCATTAGGGAAGGTGAAGAGTTGTTCAGGAGTGAGTGATCTGCTATAAATCTACTAGTATTTCATCTTTTCGGTGGGCAGAGGCAAAGAACACGTCTCCATGATGTCTCCCCCATGGCAGCCATAATTGCAATGGTCTGCAGAAGTCTTCTTTGCATACATTTTCTTTGTTGCATGTGTTTGCCACTGAGACAGAAAATGAAAGAACAGAAAGGTTCAGATCACACAATTATTTACCAGGTGCACTGTTACTAAATATGCTCAGATTAAAGATGAGCATCATCACTCTTCCATCATGTCCTCTTTTCATTCTCAAAAGCAAAATTCCTAAATAGCTTTGAGCAATGCAGAGTTCCAGCCTTCAAATAATGGTTTAGAGTAAAGCCAGATAGTAGATATTTTAGGCTTGACAAGCCACATAAGGTCTCTGTTCCATATTCTTCTTCTTTTAAAAAAAAAAAAACTCTTAAAAAATGTAAAAACTATTTTTAGTATCCAGGACATACAAAAACAGGCTGAGGGCTATAGTCTGAGGGCCCCTGGTTGAGTTACAGAAATACAGAGCCCAATCTGCTTACTGTCATGTGCAGAGGATGTCAGCCACTGGCTGTCTTGCCTAAAGTCCTTTAACAGCGTCCCTGTTCTCTTAGGCTACAGTCTAAGCTCTTTAACATGGGCCGTGGGAGCCTGTGCACTCTCACCCTGCTCATTTTTCTAGTCTCACCTAAAACAACTCTCCTTGTACACTGCAGTCTTATTATCTTCTTTCAGTTCTTAGAATGTTTCGTGCCTTTTGCTTCTAGACATTTGTATGTACAGTTCTTTCTGCCTGGGAAGTTTTCTTACTCACTCACCTGGCTAATTCCTCTTTACCTTGCAAGTTTCGGTTGAAACAGTTCAGAATTCCTGAACCCCAGGATTATGTCAGGTTGCCTATTACATGTGCCTACACCATCCCATACTTTTCATTCATGACACTCATGATAAGCATATATATTGTCCATAAAGTTCCTATGCATAAGATGTGTCCTCTGTTAACTGTTTGTTTTACATTTCTTCTAGGTGAGGTTTTTAGCTATCAGGAATTGACTGAATGATTCCAATTAAGAACAAGAAAGGTACCTAGAAATACATGGAGGAAAAAAAATGTAGAAAATAGGGAAGACCATATGTAGAGATTCTGTCATCACAATATAGATTTGCTTGGTTTTACCACGTGTAAATACTGGTTGTCTTTACTAGTGTAAATTTAGAGAAGGCACTTGCTAATGTGTTGGTGAATGTCTGGTTAACTAAATAAATCTGTAGAAAATATAATTTTATTAGAGTTGCTTACTACTGAGTCCTTCCTATGTGCCAAGTACTGTGTCTGCATCACCTCTTATTTTGACAAATCCCACGGAAGGTAGAAATTATTATTCCTTACATTTGAAGATACAGATGCTGGGAAAAGATGGGTTATTTATCCAAAGTCCTACAGCTAGCAAAAAATGCCCTAAGTCAAACACAGGTCTATCAGGCTTTAAAAAGATAAAATAGATTACTAAACAAAAAGGTACTTTACATTAAGAAAAAAATGACTGAATCAGGCTTTACATCTTATGGCCTTGAAAGATTAGCTAGCTAATACCTAGTTATTATAAGAGTTGCTCCATCTGGACTCAAGGATACCATCAGCATTAAGCCATATGTTTAAATATCCTTGCATTTATAGTTCAATTATGCATTTTAGTCTCCAAAATTCAATGCAAAGTCCAACAAGGTTCTAGTCACTTTTATGTGGAATGTGGTAAGAATGTTTCTGATTTTTTTTTTATCATTAGAACTTATCTAATAAGCACTTTTAGAAGAATACAAAGTAAAACAAATAAAGACGAAATAGTTACGTTTATATTCCCTATCTTAAGAGAGAAAACTTTAGGGCATAGCTTGCAGTAAAATTAGGTTCTCAAGACTGATATTTTTTCACCATACAATGAAACTTGCAGGTTTTTAATTACACAGAATAATGTGTTTGTTTTGTTGTTCCTAGAACAAAAGTTTTTGCTGTTTTAACAGACTTTTGTACCTTGATGGTAAATTCTGAATTTAGACACACTCGTGGAAAGTTGTTCGTGTTCCAAGAATGACTGGACTTAAGAAATTTTGCTCTGGCCTTTAACTAGAGCTATGTCAGAAAAATATTTTCTCTTCAAGTATAGACCTACTAGAAATTTTGATCTATGGCAGAAATCAACCTTAAAAAAAAATCCAGATTTTCTGTTTTCCTATATTAATGCTTTCCCCAAGTCTACGAAAGAATAATCTGGAGGCAAAAGAGTAACCTGGAGGTTACAGAGCACATATTTTAGCTGCCAGATAGTCCTACATTTAGTTCCCAATTCTGCCACTTGCTATGTGATTCTAGATCAATTCAGCATCTATTCTAAGCCTCAGTTTCTTCATTGGTAATGATGATAATAAGAGTACATTTCTCATAGGAATGTTCTGATCAGAGTATGGAATGAGTAGGAAGCCAAATGTTAAGTCGTTAGTAACATTCAGGTGCTAAGCCACATAATCCATGAAAATTCAATGGAACTGCATGGTTAGGATCTTAAATAACCTTCTGAAACAGCAGAGGATCTAAAACATGAACATGAGTTCATGTCAGTGATAAAGAAAAGCCCAGTTACCTATGGGACTACTACTGGTTGTAGCGTTTTCCCTTTTCTTCTGTCTTCAGTTCCAAAAAAAGTTGATTTCAAATAAGTGAAATAATTAGACTCTAGTCTCAATCACCTCTCTAGTTCCTATGCTGTCCCATTCCTATGCAGATTGGCAAGTATCACGGCATAACAGGTGGCTTATGTTATTTTTAGGTATTTGCATCACAGGTTTAAATAAAACCTTGTTTTAGAGGAAACATCTACTCAGTTCTTGGCAGACCCCTATCTATTCCTAACTATATAAACACCTGCACTTAAAAGTAGAAGTTCATCCGACTCTTTCATTCCTCTTACTGCTGACCAATGCTACGTTCAAATCATTTCTATTTCCCATTCAACCACACATACCTGTAAATAAAGGGAAGAATTAGAGCCGTGGGACATCTTTTGCACCATCCCATCTTTTTGTAGGATGCATTCCTCCAAGTGAATCACATTTGGATGTTGGCTCTTGATACTGCTTAGTGCCCAGAACTCACGCAGGGCTAGTTCAACATTTTCAGGTGCATGGCATCGGATTTTCTTCACTGCCACCCGTGCAGAAGTCTTTCTGATGACTGCTTCATATACAACACCGTAACTACCTCGGCCTACCTCCCGTATTAGATCGTACTTTGGCTGGCTACTCACCATCTTCAAGGTCAAGGTTTCTGGAAAAATGAACAAAGTGCTCTGTTGAAATTAAGTATACCTACTGGTTTCAATTTCTTCTTATGCACAATTTAGTAGTTGTCATCTGTCTCACTGTCTGCAGTGCTTGAATAATATTTGCTATACACTGGGCAAATGTAAATATTTTGATAATAGTAGCACTACTATTTAATAATAGTAACAGTAATGTGGTACTTACCATGTATCAGGAGCTGTCCTGAGCATTTTATATATTAAGCTCATTTAATCCTCACAACAATATTATGAGGTAGATACTGAGCATGATGGGGCTTCCCTGATAGCTCAGTTGGTAAAGAATCCGCCTGCAATGTGGGAGACCTGGGTTCGATCCCCGAGTTGGGAAGATCCCCTAGAGAAGGGAAAGGCTACTCACTCCAGTATTCTGGCCTAGAGAATTCTATGGACTGTATAGTCCAGGGGGTCTCAAGGAGTCTGACATGACTGAGGGACTTTCACTGAGCATAATAGCTCATTTTGTAGATGAAGAAACTAAAGCACAGAGTTTTAGCAACATGCCCAAGGTCAAACAGCTAGTAACTGGGAACCTGGGATTTGAAACCAGGCCATCTTGCTCTGACAACCTCTTACATGAACTGCTTCAAAACACCACTAGTAAACATAAACCAAAAAGTTCATATTCTTATTTACTGATCATGAAAAAACAATAAAAACTCCTGCTTCCCCTGAAAACTGATACATATAAAAGTTCCTAAAAATGGCAAAACTCACAGTTAGAAACACAAACACCTAGCTTAGGTTTAGGTACTGAGACTACACAGAAGTAAGAATGAGTAGTTATTTTTCTTTTTTAAAAGTAAATGATCAAACTATACACATTCCTATTTTAATTTTATTTCCTTCTTGCAAAATAAAGTTTGTGGAGAAAAATATTCCTTTACAGATAAACGAAGCTACTTAGAATATGGTTATTGTTCTTCTTGTTTCAACAATAGCTATTTAGATCTAGGTCATTTTTGCCAATGAAAACTATCCTGCATATTAAGAGGTTCTCTGAGAGAGTTCTTTGGAATTCAACTTGCTAAATCATTTAAAGGCAAGGGCAAAGAAAGGCCTTGCGTGGAAACACTCATGTGTTGAATTAAGAGTTTGAAGAGTGCCTCCTCACTCTCCGAAGACTGTCAAGATTCTAATGAACTTCAGGAACCAATTCTCATTTGTAAAATGCCAGCATGGGCAAGAAAAGTTACCTGAGATTGTACAATTTTTATAGTGTACGGTTTAGGGGAACACAAAGCGACCGACAAACAGAACCTGTCAAGTTGGGATCAGTCATTTTAAGTCGATAGAACAGATTTAATAAAGAAAATGAAAGCTTCTGAGATTGCTTTTAGTCCCACTTCCTCCAACTGGACACCGCTCTTCAAATTCCTACAGTATTTCCGAGTGTCGGATTTCCTGCCACAGAATTCTCTGCCCCAGCTACACAGTGGACATTCGTTCCTGTCCTCCGTGGATCGCCAATTCCTATCCATCTCAAAGTGGCTCGTGCCTTGAAAGCTGCCCCATACCCCCCTGAATAGGTGGGAAGGAGGGTGTCTGTGAAGTCTTTGAGATCCTGGGTCAAAACACAGTGCGGTGATGCACACCGTGCGAACCTCGGGAACTTGGGACGGCATCCCCCCGGGCCCTCGTGCCTACACCCGGCGCTCGGACACCGGCCGGCCCAGCTGTACACCTGCTGGCGCCCGGGAAGGAACAGTCCTGGGCAGAGGTGCAGCCCGACGCGGCGGCTCAGGGCCCCGCTCATTGGCCAAGTATCAGGCCCTCCCCTTCTTCGGCGGCTTCCAGAGAAAACCCGGAGGGGATCCTCTAGGGGCCCTTCACCCGGAGGAGCCAGTCCTGCAGCTGCCCCGACTCCTCCGGGTTGGCGGCTGAGGCCCGGGGCCTGGGGAGGAGGCCACAGGGCAGAAGAGGAGGCCGCGGCTGGGGCCGGTGGCCTGAGGGGTGCGGGCCGGAGGCCTGAGGCGCGCGGGGCCTTCCCCGGGACGACTCCGCTGACAGCTCAGTGACAGGTCGCCTGGGGCGGGAGGCACGTGCAGGGCCCTCGGCTCTGCAGCAGGGTCTCTCAGCCGAGCCGAGGGGCCAGATTTACCTCAGGGTAGCCGCCGCCGCTTCTCTCTCTCACGGACTCTGCAGGCCGCCATTATCGGGGAGCTCGCGCCTCCGCCGCCGCGGCCTCCAGTCAGAGGCCGGCGCGCGCCCCCGTGGTGCGCGCGGACACACCCCCTTACGCCTCGCGGCCCCGCCCCCCTCCGGCTTTCCGTAGCGCGAGTCGGGACGCCGAGCGCCGGTCCTGCGGGGCGCGCGCCTGGCGCTCCGCTGGCTTCCCGACTCCCTTGGCTTTCAGGAGCCGGGGGGAGTCGCGGAAGGGGGTTGCGCGCTCTGGAACGCACCACTTGTGCCCCCTCCCCGCGGGGGTGGCCGGGAGCGGCGAGGCCATTCCACGCCCTGTGGCTTGGTCGCCCTCCAGCCGCAGCGGGCGCCCGCGGCCCCGGCAGTGGTGCCTAAGCCGCAGGTCCGGGCTGAGGGAAGTGCGCGCGCCTGGCGCCCTCCCCTCCCCCGCTTCGCCCCGACTCCTGACTTTACCGAGCTGCGGGAAGGTGTGCGGGCTCGCTGGGACGGAAGGCCTGGGGCATCTTCTTACGCGCCGGGCTGGGATGCCTGAGGGACGCGGGCCTCTTCCGGGGCCCCGCGGGGAAGCACGGCCCGAGCTGGGAGGTCTGGCGTCCGTCCCGCCGGCAGGGAGGCTGCACCTTTTGTCAGAGTCACTGAGCCATATTTGCGCGCTGTGCGGTTGCCGAGGCGGCGGCAGCGCGGGGCTGAGTGCGATCATCTGGGAAGACGCGGTCCCCTGCCCCGCCGGCGCGGTGGTATCTCCCTTAAAGAACCCGGCGCCTCATTGTTGCAGGGCTCTGCAGCCGGGAGACGGGGCGACTTGCCCCCGGCTTGGAGAAAGGGGCCGCGGCCTCCGCGCACGCCCTGCCTGGCTGCGGCACCCGCGGGCTGCACGTGGAGAGTCGGGACGGCCCCCTCCCTGCGCAGCTAGCGGCCGAAGTCTGGGCCGAGATTAACAGCGAGGACGGCCGTGCTAGGGGCCCGACTGTCAGCCTGAGTCACTGGGGCCCTGGACTGCCGTTGGCCAGATCCAGGCCCGCGTTCACCAGCCAACTCTGGGCTGTCAGTTGCTCAAAGACCCGGACCGATCGGTCATTCAGTTAGTTTCACGGATCAGTAAGCAACCTCCAGAAACGTCCACTCCTTCACGGATTTAATCCGCACCTAGTGTTTATCAATAAAGTGGTTGTTTCTCCTCCCAGTGCTGTATAAGGCATGATGGGCAAAGAATCCCTGTTAACTGCTCTCAAGGGTCAACCAATTACCCATTTTATTTTCTGTCCTCCATTTATGGGCCTCCCGAATGTCTGGGACTGGGTTAAGTCTTTAAATGATCTCTCCTAATCCTAAAGAAACTCCACAAGAGCAGGGCTTATTACTAACCCTGTTTTTACAGGTAAGGACGCAGACCTTTGCATTCTTCGATGGAAAGGTGTTTTGTTTTTGTTTTTTTTTTTTGAGGGGGCACTTGCCTTGAATACCCTCTCCCCTGGTGTAAATTCTCCTACTTATCCCGACCAAAACGCCCCAACCTTGCTCTGTAATCTGTTCAGTTTTCGCCCTGAATGTCATTTACCAGTCTTTGGCTGTCTACTAGGACTACTGATATATTCTAAGGTTTGGTTTCTGCCCTTGAGAGGGAAAGTTGAGGGCTCTGTGTAGACAGGTGACTACCTGTGTGGGTAATTGATTAGAATCAAGAGTGGTATCTCTGGCCAAAGGAAACTTTACTTTTTGTTTATCTCAGTCACTAAATACAAGAATCTCTCCTCTCAAGGTGGTTGCAGAACTTGAAATTCAATCCCATAATTCAAAAGTTAGGAAACTAACTCTAAAGCCTGTGAGGTGGACGTTTTAGTAATTTGGGGTGTCTTCTTTAGAAAAAAAGATTACAGAATGGGCCTGTGAATACAGTGCTGGGGCCTTGGAAAGTATCTCTGTAAGTGACAGACTCTGAAGCTTAAGCTTCCGAATAAAGAACATTATGTGCTGTGCTAAGTCGCTTCAGTCGTGTCCAGCTCTGTGCGACACTATGAACTGTAGCCCTGCAGGCTCCTCTGTCCATGGGATTCTCCAGGCAAGAATACTGGAGTGAACTGCCTTGCTCTCCTCCAGGGGATCTTCCTGCATTGGCAGGTGGGTTCTTTACCCCTAGCACCACCTGGAAAGCAGCTAAGATTACCATGTATCACTATATTTGCACATAAGCCTGGTATGAGACTCAGAGTTTCTGGGGACAGGATTTATCCACTGTGATTTATTTATCCACTGTCTGATATCACGCCAAAATACTCCTGTGGATAGATAGCATTGTCATACACTGCTTGTGGGAAGGCAAAATGAGGTAACTCTAATTAAGGAGATTTGGCAATCTATAGCCACATTACCTATGTATTTACTCTTTCACCCAGTAAATCTACGTCAAGGCTAAACTTGTAGGAGTCCAGCCTCATGATATATTGGCAAAATACAAAAAGCTCTATGCACAAGGCTATTCATTATGGCATTAAAAAAAAAAAAACTATGGTGTTATTTTCAGTGGCAAAAGATTGGAAACTGCTGGTGTGTCAGTTAACTAGCTGGATAAATTACTATACAAACACAGGGTGAAGTGCTCTGCAGCTGTAAAAAGATATGTGGATAAGTTCTTATAAATAAACAGAAACTAATAAGTAGTAGTGTCCGTGTATATAAGGGAAATAAGCAAGGTGCATGATAGTGTTTGTAGAAGTGGTATCTTCTGTGTAAGTAGTGGGATGGTATACATTAATTGCTTATATTTAAAGTTAAACAATGGAAGAATAAACTCAACTTTCTAAAAATTATTTGCTATGTGGGATGGAGTGGGTAGGGATGGGAATGAGGCTTCTATGAATGTACCTTATATAGTTGGAAACTATGTTAGAAACATAAATGTTGCATATTTATAAAAAAGAAGTTCAGTAGAAAGAATAAAGCAGTCCATAAAAGTTAAAAAACAAATGGAAACAAATGAAGTGATATAACTACACAGAGAAAATACTTTTAAGTGGCTTATAAGTATTTTGATTATACCTCCCTAATAGGATACAATAGAAGGACAAAGTAGAACTGCATAGAAATATTAAATATTAAATTGCATTTATTAGTCTTATTGTTAGTAATGATGCTAATATTTCTATTTTGAAGCTATGATAGGTGCATTTTTCAATAAAGTAATTATGTCAGTGGCATTAGGAATCAAGATTTTCAACAAATGAGAAGAATTACAAGTATTAAAGAAGCCTAAGATAATTTTAGATCTGAGTTAGCAGAATGAATGAAATATATGTTTTTCCCCTTAAAAATGTATTCTCTAGCCCTTTCTGCTGAAAACACTGAGAAGCAACGAACAACTCAGCAGTAATGAACACCCTTAGTACACAGATCTGGTGTCTAAATACCATTTTCCAGTTTAAAAAATAATTAAAAATTAAACAAAGTCAAGGTTCTTTTGATAAATGTCTGATTCCAAATCTGGAGCAGGAAAGATGATGTTGGGTCATCTTGTGCCTAAAGGACAGGAAGCTATCAAAGACTATTACAGTCTTGTAAAAATGACTGAGATACCAATACAAAGGGGACCCACTGGCCAAAGATAGAATAATTTGAGCATTAAAAGAAAAATAATGACTTCAATAAATGCAACACAATATACATAAAAACCTATTAATGATAATGTAAGGAAAACAACATTTGTTATCAATGGAGTTGATTAAGGGAATCAACTAATTACCCTGACCACTAATGGATAAGTTCAGTTCAGTTCAGTCGCTCAGTCATGTCCAACTCTTTGCAACCCCATGAACCACAGCACATCAGGCCTCCCTGTCCATCACCAACTCCCGGAGTCCACCCAAACCCATGTCCATTGTGTTGGTGATGCCATCCAACCATCTCATCCCCTGTCGTCCCCTTCTCCTCCTGCCCTCAATCTTTCCCAACGTCAGGGTCTTTTCAGATGAGTCAGCTCTTCGCATCAGGTGGCCAAAGTATTGGAGTTTCAGCTTCAACATCAGTCCTTCCAATGAACACCCAGGACTGATCTCTTTTAGGATGGACTGGTTGGATCTCCTTGCAGTCCAAGGGACTCTCAAGAGTCTTGTCCAACACCACAGTACAAAAGCATCAGTTCTTTGGCGCTCAGCTTTCTTTATAGTCCAACTTTCACATCCATACATGACTACTGGAAAAACCATAGCCTTGACTAGATGGACCTTCGTTGACAAAGTAATGTCTCTGCTTTTTAATATGCTATCTAGGTTGGTCATAACTTTCCCTCCAAGGAATACACGTCTTTTAATTTCATGGCTGCAATCACCATCTGCAGTGATTTTGGAGCCCAGAAAAATTAAGTCAGCCACTGTTTCCGCTGTTTCCCCGTCTATTTGCCGTGAAGTGATGGGACCAGATGCCGTTATCTTAGTTTTCTGAATGTTGAGCTTTAAGCCAACTTTTTCACTATCCTCTTTCACTTTCATCAAGAGGCTCTTTAGTTCTTCACTTTCTGCCATAAGGGTGGTGTCATCTGCATATCTGAGGTTATTGATATTTCTCCCAGCAATCTTGATTCCAGCTTGTGCTTCCTCCAGTCCAGTGTTTCTCATGATGTACTTTGCATATAAGTTAAGCAGGGTGACAATATACAGCCTTGACGTACTCCTTTTCCTATTTGGAACCACTCTGTTGTTCCATGTCCAGTTCTAACTGTTGCTTCCTGACCTGCATACAGGTCTCTCAAGAGGCAGGTCAGGTGGTCTGGTATTCCCATCTCTTCCAGAATTTTCCACAGTTGATTGTGATCCACACAGTCAAAGGCTTTGGCATAGTCAATAAAGCAGAAATAGATGTTTTTCTGGAACTCTCTTGCTTTTTCCATGATCCAGCGGATGTTGGCAGTTTGATCTCTGGTTCCTCTGCCTTTTCTAAAACCAGTTTGAACATCTGGAAGTTCACGGTTCACATATTGCTGAAGCCTGGCTTGGAGAATTTGGAGCATTACTTTACTAGCATGTGAAATGAGTGCAATTGTGCGGTAGTTTCAGCATTCTTTGGGATTGGAATGAAAACTGACCTTTTCCAGTCCTGTGGCCACTGC